GACCAGTAATATTTGGGGTCACAAGTTTTTGCCATGGATAGTTTGTGGGTCAGAAGATAAAAAGTTTGGGAACCACTGGTTTACAGCACACGCAATTTCCGGTTAGCTTCTTAGCTTAGCCTCCTTCATAGCGACATACGTCGCAGCCAACTGATCCAATCATTTTAAACTTCAGCAGAGGCCACGCCTCCAGCAAGAATCGCTTCTTTATAGCCGAGAGTCCAGACCCTTGTACGAAGCAAAGTGAAGGACAAGGATCTGGTTTTTACCAGGCTCGCTCCTATTAAATGTGGGGCACCCCAAGGCTCCATACTGGGCCCCATTTTATTTTGTCTTTATTTGATTTCGCTGGCTTCCATTTTCAAGAAATAAAATGGGTTGTTTCATTTTACGCAGATAATATTCAGATTTATTTACCTTTTAAGATCTGGTAGAGTTCAGTGCATGGAGAATCTGTGGAATTGTTTAAAGCATCTAAAAACATGACCGACTAACAATCAATCAATCAATCGATCAATCAATCAATCAATCAATCAATCAATCAATCTCAGACTCACCTGGAGCTAAAGTTTTGTGTCTGGATTTGTGTCTGGAGGAGGAGTCCAGAGTGCTGCTCTCCATGCGGATGTTCCCGCTGCCCCGAGAGGCGGGGCTGTGTCCAGACCGATCGCTGTGTCGGGCAGAGGGGCTGCCGGGGGGTCCCGGAGGACCTGGAGGGGCATTGAGGTCTAAACAGCTGGCAGGGAAGAAGCGGGCACCTGGTCCTGGAACAGCTGCCATGTTGGCGTTGAGGTCGTCGGGATGAAGTCGCCCGTCGCTGAGGTTGCCCACAGATTTGGCGTCGCTCAGAGCGCCGTGGCTCTTGGACAGGCTGAGATACGAGGCGGAACTTTTGGAAGAGGAGGACATGGAGCCGTGGGCGGAGTCGGCCATGCTGTGGGCATGGCGGCCATGTTGTTTCTCTGCTCCAGACTGCAGCGTGTTGGTTTTATTTTCAAGGAAGTTGTGTCGTCCTGCCTGTTGTTGTTGTTGTTGTTGCTGTTGTTGTTGCTGTTGTTGTTGTTGTTGCTGCTGCTGAGAGCGAGAGGAGCTCGGTTTGCTGAGGCTGTACTTGGCTCCGTGTCCCTGATCCGTTAACTTTGTCGATGGTCCCAAATTGAAATCAAACTCGGTTTTGTTTTTTGCTTCTTTGGGACTGAGGAGGTGCGGCAGGTTGTTGTTAGCTAGGTCTTTGTTGGAGGAGGCGGAGCGGTTCAGGGTCTGGGACAAGTACTGGCCCTTTGGGTGGAGCGTGGGGCTCAGGCTGGACGGCGCCGGCTTGTTACCGTTCAGGAAACTCTCGTTGCTGAGGTGATGGAGGTCCCCGTGGCGAGGGAGGCTGGAGCACTCTTTGCTGGTGGAGCGGCGGCTCGAGCTCTTGTTGTGACTCCTGGAGGAGCAGAGAAAGAGGCGGGAAATTATTCCCCGTCCTGAAATCTGAATCTTTTCCAGAGGTACGATGAACACGAGAAGCTTTTATCTACAGGGCAGGTGATGGCTGAACGAGACCAGGTGTGCTCATTATAAATTGCACAGGTGTGATGTGACGCGACAACCAGGAAAAACAGGTAAACATTGAGCAAAAGCACAGATGAACAGAAAATAAATAACTTACAGTAAACTACTGATACACAAACTGAAAACACTGAAAAACAAGGATTTACAGGAATAAAAATCAAGAAAAACAAATAAAAAAACAAAAACGTTGATATATTTAATGATTAAATGAGAACTAGAGTAAAGAGCCGGAGTCCGGACCTCGTAGGGACCGTGTTCTCCCCGTGGTGATGGGTTTTCCTCTTGGAGGAGCGCGGCGGGTTCGGAGAGGTGGGAGAAGGTTTTTCCCGCTCCACCTGCCTCAGAGGCTGAAAGACGGGGTGGTTCAAACTCTGCTCGGTTAAATATCGCTCCGTCGGGTTCAGCAGCAGCAGATTCTGAGGAGAAACACAAACGTCTGACAACATTTCCTCTGTTTCTTCTTTAAAAGTAAGKCTTTTATTGTGAAAGGGACGACTTATAAAAGCAGGAAGTTTGTGTGTTTCTGTGTTTTACCTTCATTAAATCCAACATCAGACCGCTCATGATGCACTGGTACCTCCTCTCCAACGTCTGCGGGTGAGTGACTGAAGAAAACTGGGACACAAACAAACAAACAAACAAACAAACAAACAAACAAACAAACAGTGTTTGTGTGTTAGTGCTAGTTCTGCTACATTACACCGTTAACGTTAAATTAATATTTTTACAGGTTATTTTCGTCGCCTGTTTTCTGATCTGCACAGTGACGCTAAACTCTAACGGCGGAACTAGCTTCTCGTTCAGTGGATTAGCTGTTTTGCTAACTTTGGAAACTGTTAGCGGACTGATTAGCTTCTGCTAATTTTAAGTCCACAAAAAATTTACAATGTAAATCTTAATTTTTATGCCATTTATCCCTAGTTAAATAAAAACTCTGCTGTTTAGAGCAGCGCTGGACTTGTCAGGCACCATGTATAGCATGTAGCATCAGCAGCTAAACTTCAAAGTAAGAGTGTTGAAATTAAATAAAMGAACATTTAACAAAAACTGACTAAATGTAAAAGATGGTAGAGATAGTATTTGCTATTTGTTGTTCAACTAACTTCAAACAATATTTATTAAAATACAAACTAAATCAAAGAAATGCTTTTATTCTGAAAGGGGTAAACTGGAAGTATAACAAGTTAGAGCTAACGCTGGTTTGAATTGGACGATTTGCCTCAGGTGATCCCGCCCACCTTCTAATTAAACCAATAGAAAACTAACAACAGGTTTGTGTCGGTCCACTGGTCTTTAGATGTAAACCGACAGTCGTCTTAGCGGTTAGCGTTAGCTATGCTAAGATTCGTGCTTAGTGGATTAGTGGTTAGTTAAGCTAACCTAAACAAACATCTATCMTGAATGTTTATTTTACTACATTCAGTGTTTCGGCCAGTAAAGATTAGCTCTCATATCTCATGAAACAAAATAAAAAACACACAAAAAATAACTATCTTGCAAAGCCTTCTGGGAGATTTTCTCCTGCTGCTAAACTGAAGCGCCCGTCACAGCGATCGTCTCGGTCGTGGTTCTGGGAGCGCCGCCACAGAGGAGCGTGGATGTAGACATGAAGGTAGAGGAAGAGGAGGTTTCCTACCCTTATCCCGTGAAACCGCGGGTTGTTGTAGAACAGCTTCATCTGCTCCGCAGGAAGTGGACCCAGAACCTTCTGAATGGTGAAGAGCTGCAGGTAAAAACACAGAAACCTGTTTATCCAACATCTGAATCCTCCTCAGTTAGAAAAAGACTACAACAAATTCCTATTTTACAGATAATTAAAGTGTGAAACCCCACTGGTTGAACGTCTCAAGATGGCCGCCTCAGCTGTCTCAAACTGTCTCCGTCTCTAACCCTGTCTCAGTCCTTCACCCTGAGCTGTGATCTCAGCAAACAGTAAGACAGTAAATGAGTTCTTCTTTTGTTGTGTTGGATCTACCAACCTGATCGATTTCACTTTCACCAGGAAACAGAGGCTGTCCGTCACTCAGCTCCCCGAGGATGCACCCCACCGACCACATGTCCACAGCCTTTCCATATGGAGCCCTGAGACGYACACAGACACATGAACACCTTATATTAGGAGAATTCTAATGTTACCAACTAACAGCTCACAGCACCGCCTCCTGGTCTTTCTGGGTTGAACATGTTCTCCCTGTGCACATGTGGGTTTTCTCCAGGTACTCCGGTTTTCTCCCACAGATAAAAAACAAACATGTTAAGTTCCATGTGGGAACACTGACCACTTTAAAAAATATATGTTTCAGCCTCCTGGCTCTTAAACTTTAGCTTGATCAACATTTTTATGTTTCCCAATATGATTAGGATAGAAGAGTAATCATCCATCCATCCATCCATCCATCCATCCATCCATCCATCCATCCATCCATCCATCCCCGCTGTGTTGACAGGGTGGCCAACCAAGTATTTAAAACTCACTGTAAGGATGGATGGATGATGGATGATGGATGGATGGATGGATGTATGGATGAATGGATAATGGATGGATGGTTGATGGGTGGATTGATGATGGATTGATGATGGATGGATAGATGGATGGTGGATGTATGGATGTATGGATGAATGGATAATGGATGGATGGATTGATGGATGGATGGATGGATGCATGGATGGTTGGATGGATGGATCGATGATGGATGGATGGATTGATGATGGATGGATTGATGATGGATGAATAGATAGATGGATGAATGGATGGATGGTTGGATGGATGGATGGATTGATGATGGATGGATGGATGGATGGATGGATGGATTGATGGATGGATGGATTGATGATGGATGGATGGATGGATGGATTGATGATGGATGGATGGATGGATGGATGGATGGTTGGATGGATGCATTGATGATGGATGGATGGATGCATGGATGGTTGGATGGATGGATCGATGATGGATGAATAGATAGATGGATGAATGGATGGATGATGGATGGTTGGATGGATGGATGGATGGATGGATGATGGATGGATTGATGATGGATGAATAGATAGATGGATGAATGGATGGATGGTTGGATGGATGGTTGGATGGATGGATTGATGATGGATGGATGGTTGGATGGATTGATGATGGATGGATGGATGGATGGATGGATGGATGGATGGATGGATGGACGGATTGATGATGGATGGATGGATGGATGGATTGATGATGGATGGATGGATGGATGGATGGATGGATGGATGGATGGATGGATGGATGGATGGATGGATGGACGGATTGATGATGGATGGATGGATGGATGGATTGATGATGGATGGATGGATGGATGGACGGATTGATGATGGATGGATGGATGGATGGATAAATGGATGGATGG